GGGGGGGGGGCGGTGAGGGGGAACACATCAGCAGCTGTGTGTGTTGCAGGAGGGCGGAGCAAGTCATAAGGACTGAATAAATCAAGCTTTGTCCATGAGTCCTAGCAGCAGATATGGGCAGGTCACCCTGGAGACTACTGAAGCAGTCCAGGGTGAGGACATCAGAGCCAGGGGATCCTGCATGTGCTGTGTGGGCGAGTCTGTGAGGCAGAAACAGTGGGAATGGAGACCCGGTGACAGATTGATTAGAAGTGGTGCAGATGCTTTCTTGGAGGAACCCATCCAGATTAAGCAGAGTAGAAAGAAATGACGACTGGCTGTGAACAGTGTGGAGACTGGCTGCATCATAACTGGCTCCAGTGCCCATGTGCACAGTTTGGGACTCCCACCTGTAGGGTTGAGGAGGGGCTCTACAATGCTGGTAGATCCCACACCTCCCATTCTGCCTTCTCAGCTTGAGTCTTGTCTCCTAGGTGCTCCAGAGCTACCTTGTCTTCCAGCTTCATCATTTATTACCTTACCCTTTGATTCCAAGGGCTTTGCTGGTTTTTAGGCCATCTTCATGAATTCACATTCTCTCTGCCCTACCCCATACGTACACACTGCAGCTCTAGTTTAGCGTCTTGCAGTGACTCTGACCGTCCTCAACAACATGCCTGTACAACGAAAATGTGGGTGAGTGTTGTAGCATGGGGAGATTACATAGTAAATAACACCCCCTTTTTCCCCAACCAAGTTTAGTATTTGCCAGCACACAGGGAGCAGGAATGGCAGGCAGGCAGGGAGCAAGCTGTCAGCTCATTAGCAGATGGGGGCTGTAGAGAGTGTAGCTTGGTGTGAGCCCCAAGATGGCCACCTTGCCGGCTTCCTTGGTGCTGCCCAGCCCCAAGTTCAATGCCAGTTTCTTACAAGCCTCACTTAGGACGACAAACACAAAGTAGTAATACAAGACTTCATCGATTACCACAGTGTTGGCCACTGGGGCCGCCCCAAGCACCAGATTTTCTCTGAAATGCCTTTCTTGTTCACACAGCACATTCGTGCCTCTTGATTCCATTTCCTATTTGCACCTGTGTTTCTGGCCCCCCAAGCCTCTGTTGAGGGTGGACTCTAATGATGTAGTTCTTCCACTGCCTGTGAGCAGGCGTCCTCAGATCTGGTCACTGCCTCCTGAGGGGGGCTTTTCCTTCGCTCCTGCATGTGCCCCCATCCTTTCTCCATTGTATAATCTTAGTTCTCTGATGAAATATTTGACCGTATATGTGTGGGCTTATTTCTGGGCTCTCTATTCTGTTCCATTGGTCTATATATCTGCTCTTAGGGGAGTATCATTAAGATACGATCCTACATTTTCTTCTCAAAGTTTTATAGTTTGGGGCACCTGGATGGCTCAGTCGGTTGAGCGTCCGACTCATTATATCAGCTCAGTTCATGATCTCACAGTTGTAATATCAAGCCCCACATCGGGCTCCAGGCTGAGCATAGAGCCTGCTTGGGATTCTCTCTCTCTCTCTCTCTCTCTCTCTCTCTGTCTCTGTGCCCCTCCCCTATTCACATGCACACTCTCTCTCAAATAAACAAATGTGAACAAAAAATAAAAGTTTTATAGTTTCAGCTCTTAAGTTTAGGTCTTTGATCCATTTTGAGTTAACTTTTGTATATGGTGTGAGGGAAGGGACTCACCTCCATTCTTTGTCATGGCAATATCCAGTTTTTCCAGCATCATTTGTGTAAGAGACAATGCTTCCCCCCACATTAAATGGTCCTGACACCCTTGTCAGACATCAGTTGACCATGTATGTGAGGGTTTATTTCTCAAGTGTCTATTCAGTTGGTCTGTATGTTCATATTATTTGTGCTAGTACCACACTATTTTAAGTATTATAGCTTTGTGTGAGGGTTTGACCTCAGGGAAATGTGAGTCCCTCGATTTTGTTATTCTTTCACAAGATTGTTTTGGCTACTTGGGATCCCTTGAAATTCCATATGAATTTTGGGATATGTTCTTTTATTTTGCAAAAATGTCATTGGGATTGAGATAAGGATTGCATTGAATCTGTGGATTGGTTTGGGTAGTGTTATCTACTTAACAACAGTAAGCCTTCAAATCCATGAACACTGATATCTTTACATTTATTTATGTCTAGTTTAATTTCTTTCAGCAGTGTTTTATAGTTTTAGTGTACAAGTATTATGTCTCCTTGGTTAAATTCCCTTTTCATTGCCAGTGTATGGAAATACTATTTTTGTGTGTGGAATTTATATCTTGCAGCTTTGCTGAATTATTAGCTCTATTACTGTTTTTGTGGACTTTTTAGCGTTTTCTATGTATAAAATCATTATCTTTAAATAGAAATAATTTTACTTCCATCTTTCCAATTTGGATGCCTTTTATTTCCTTTTCTTGCAAAGGTGCCTGTGTTAGGGGCTTCTTGCAGCCACCTGGGTGGCTCAGTCAGTTGAGCGTCTGACTCTTGATTTCAGCTCAGGTCATGATCTCACAGTTCATGGGATTGAGCCCCACGTCAGGCTCTGCACTAACAACATGGAGCCTGTTTGGGATTCTCTCTAAATAAACATTAAAAAAAAAAA